TAATCACACTTGGGAAAATAAATTATATTTTAAACTTTATTCTACCATACCAAGTTTTTAAGATTTTTAATTGTTTGAATGACAACATCCATTTTAAAAATTATGATCCGGATCAGAAAGTTTTTCAATATTTTATGATCAAATCAAATTTTAAAGAAGTGATTAATAGGCAATTGTATGCTTGGGTCTGCTTCAGAATATGAAATTAAAAAATATCCTGTAATCAAAACGGTGGAAACCTTTTTTAAGCATAGTTTAAAATATATTTTTTTGTGAAACGTATAAAAATATAGGGACTTAAAATTGTGTAAAAACGATAATACTATTTTTATATAATGCAGCTAGGGAGGTTTCGTAATTAGCTAAGCACTCGTCTTTCGTAGAATTCCGGTTCTAAATGAATGAAAATCGTTTTACTCTTTTATTTCTTGCCTTTTTAATTACAATAAAAAATAATCGTAAGACATGCAATAATGGTTGGTTTGTATTTTATTAAATTTATAATTTGTCTGACATCACAAAAAGCATTTTTTTTCATGAATTCTTAAAATAATATAGGGTATAATACCCATTTTTTGTTTTATTATTGCGATTTAAATTTTTAATATTTTTTTCTTCTCGATTCATTTTGCTTCTACTTTATGAAATAGTTAAATATATATATATATAATAATATCGTCGGGATAAACGTTTTAAGTTGTTATTTATTTTAAACTATTTCCATCCTTTGCCATATTATTATTGAAAACATGCGCTCGTTGTTATTTATAATTAAAACCATTCTTTTATAATCAACAATAAGATACAAATGGTTAGTATGGTTGCGTTGTTATTACTTTTCAGTTGAAATTGTTAATTTTATTAAAAAGCATTACATTTTGTTTGGTAGTAAAATACAATATTCGACTTAACGAATTTTTAAATCCTGGGTAAGGATGAATGGTAAATATATGATACTTTGTCTTTGTGGCTTTGTCAAAGTTAATTTTAAAAGACAATTTTGACGAAATGAAAGTTTGATAATTTATTATCATTATTGTTATCACATTATTATCGGTACAAATTCAACGATGAGATTTTAGAGCATTGAAATGTACTATCTCATTCAAAAAGTAAAGAGAATAAATATTTATAATAAAAGAGATAATATACTTTATAATATTAAAAGAAAGTTTGAAAGACTGTATAATATTATTATTTCATATTTTACAAAAAGTGTAGTTACCCATATATCTCCGATAAGAATGACTTTGACTTCGTATTTCCAATTGTTCACATAAGAATTACCTAAGCGAAAGTATGAAGATCGACTTAATCGTCGCCGTCGTCGTTTTACATTGTTTCACTATTAACAGGTCAACCGAGGGATGACACGTGAAGGTCAAGTTCATCGTCGAGAAAATATTTTGAAATGAAAACAGTCAATTACATCGAAATGGCATGGTAATGACATTGGGACGGGGTGAAAAGAGTTGTTGTTTGCGCAGATTAACAAGCGCAAAAATGCGGGACAAACGACGAAATGACCGTCGAACTATGCAAATCGGCAAAGTTTAACGGCTTCGGTGGAATTCGGCTTTTGTGGTGGGTATAGTATTATGAGATAATACGTTTTATTATGGCATATACTATACACGTCAGCACAGTCGAGACAAACGCGAACCGAATAATAATAATATATTTATTTATCAGCGGAAGTCCGTCGAGACGTTTCACAATCCGATCTATACACACGCAACCGAGATACGTGACAGTCTTTAAATATTTAAAATCGACAGTGCTAACCGTATACCTACCTAACCAGGCCTTTTTGTATAGTACCAAACACGATCGGAGGAGGGGATGAAATCAACTTCAAAACCAAATTTAACAACTACGACTATAAAAAACATTTCGCCCCACCGTTCGCATGGTTTTATCAAATGTAAGATCACGAATAATAACTGTGTTGAGTGAGCTCGATGTTAGTTATATTATTATATCTTGTGACGAAAGTATGATTGATTTTCCAATACCGTGTGTTTTTTTATTATTGTTATTATTTTTTTTTTTTTTGTATGTGTCTGAAGACACTCTTTTTATGGTTGAATCAATACTGCTTTCTCTGACGTTGTATGAGGTTTTAGGTAGCAAATTAGATATAGTTTCTACTTCGGGGTGTCAAAAGTACAAACTCAATAGGGTTTAACCAAAACACAAATGTAAAAAAATATTATATCTTATGCAAAACAAAATAATTACACATATTATATAATTTTCTAAATAATTATTAAAAACTAAAAAAAAGATGGGCATAATCATAACACACCACTACTTTTTGACAAAAACATTTTGTATTTGTTGTTATTCAAATACAAATAACCGTAGAGACTTGACATTTTCAACAAATAATTGCATCATGTTCATATGAAAAAAAATATTTTCGCTTTTTTGATATATTTATTGACGTTTGAAATGTTCAACCTTTTTTTGGTTTTTATTCGACGTATGAATGAAATTTTTTGATTGTGAATGAAAAAAGCTTGGAAAATTCATACAATTATCCAAATAAGTTTTTCTTTCAGCAAAATATCCAGTAGACACAATCAAATTGTATTTTATGTGCGTTTAGTTGAAAATAGGTATCGATGTTTTTTATAAATATATACAACTGATTATATAATTTGACAAAGTGTTCCAATATTCCAATTTTAATCGTTTTTCATCATATATTTATGCTAATACTATCTTTGAATTAAAATTTAACATTATACTTAACTTTACTTTGTTAAATAACTACTTATAATTACGATGTACACTCCAACATTTGACACCTATCCTTTAGAAACCATACAGCAAAGCGACTTCTACGATTCTTTAAAATCTTTATAATTCAAATAGTCCATGTTTAAATATTACTTCTTCACTAGTAACTATGCATAAATATGAGACATTTTACATTTAAATCATTTTGAAAACGTTTTTTTTTTTGTCTTGATTTAAAAGGTCTAAAATGTTTACTCATTTATAATCAGGTAATTTTAGTTTAGAAGAATAAAATGTACCTTACGTTTAAAATAAAAAGATAAAAAGCTAGGGACTAGGATAGATTCATTTTATATTTTGTAGTCTCAATTCATCCTTTTTAGCCTCCTCAGCCCTATGACATATCAATGGTCTCGTCATTCTTTTGAAAATGAATTAGAATTTCAAAAATCAATAAAGTATTTTAAAAATTCAAATTTGGTAGATTCGCCAAGTTATCTAGCTTAATCTCAATAAATGAATGAACTACCTGTAAAATAGGCAGGTCTTACTATGTTGGCTTTTGAATGTCTCTGGAGTATGGGAAAATGTTGATATAACAGATGTGCACACCTGACATTTTTGACGCGTATATGAACTGGAAAACCGATTTCGTGAATTCCAAATATTAGGTATATCAGTGTGTTTATTATTATTATTATTATTATTATTTATTACAATATATACCATTATTATGGTAATCGGCAGTGTGCTCAACAAACGTTCTATTCGCTGTCTATGCCGAATAAATGAATAAAGTTTTAGTATGATGCTGTCGTTTTAGAGGTTATGTATTGACTAGTTTTCTTCATTCAATAAAAGAGAAATAAATAAATAAATATTTGTTGACGAAAATTACCATCGAAAAATTGAAATGATAACATACAAACGCATCTACTTTTTGGAAATGTTCAATTATATATGCTATGTTTATTTATACATTGCATGCAAACTATATAAAATGCGCATTTCTTTGACACCTCACCCCCAAATTTTTATTTTCAAAAAACGGGTTTTAAATTGTGTCACATTAGTGCTAGAATGAGCTCAAATTTTGTCTTTTTGGCAGTAAGTTAAAGAACCTTATTCACTATGTAGGTATTTTATGGTAAAAAGTAAACCAAAACACATTTTCTAAATTCATTGAATTTTGAATCAATGAAGGAGTAGTATACTCAGCACAAAGAAAAGTGGGAGTTGCGAATAAATTATTGAGTTTTTCAAAATCAGTACCATCATAATTATTTAAATGTTATACTTTTAGTTTTTTCTGTTTGTTTAATCATTGAACTTTAATGTATAACACAATTGATTTGGCGTCATAGTCGGTGTTGGTATGTCCGATAAACTGATTTTTTTTAAGACGACATCTGGGTTTTTTGCCCTCTGGCCCAAGCGCAGCACACGACAAAACAGGTAGGTTAAAAAAAGCGGGGTGCTGGCGTAAAGTTACATTAGCACCCTCTGAAAAAATTGATTTAGATCATATTTAGGTAAGTGTACAAATGGAATAACAATCGTCGTTGGTAGAATTTATTTTATGATTTTCGAGTATGGTTGTGCTAATTCTACCTACCTAATCAAAACATATTCACTCAAAATGATTTTTTCATGTTCTTAAATAATCATACACCAACTACAAACTTAATAGAAAATAATATTTTTGAGGTGTTTTGTCAAAATATTGTATAACAATTTTTCCTTAACAATTTTAATAAATCGTTTTATTTATGTTGATTGATAGTCTAAGAGAAAACAATTATAGCGCTGACACCATTGTAACATTAATTATTTTAAATTAAAATTGTTTTTTATATTCCCAACAATTTTAGCAAAAAGTTAATTCAAAATTTGTACTTTGCGATGAAAATATGTTTCCTTCATGGTGAACAAACAATAATTATTACTTTTATATTGTATTTCATATAAATTAGGTACAATTAACATCAGAATGTCTTGTATAAAATATTATTTCCAGAAAAGTAATAATTTTTTTTTTCAATAAAAATAATAAATTAAAAAATATCGTCTAAACATAATATGTTTACTGTTTATTCATATAATTAGTTTACTCAATTAATTATTTTTATGTTTTTACTGCCTTTTAAAATGTGAATTATATGGTTCCGATTTCACAAAACTATCTGTTAAAAATGTCTATTGGCAATTGTACCTAGAATTACACTATTACAATCACAATTTAGTTGTATACTCACGTATGACGGTCAAATTGACATTGGAATTGCGGGTGGGTGATTTTTTGAAATCGACCCTACACTTGTACACGGCTGCGTCCTTGTCACCAATGTCCTGCACGATGAGTGCAGCCGGTTTCGAGGTGACACGAAAGTAAGCTCGGCCGTCCAACGTCTTGTCATCGGACCGATGGGGGCCCGTGACTGGGATGGATTTTTGCTGTGGCCCGTCCGGCGTTTTGGAGGAGGGTGCCGCTGGCATCAAATTCCCTCCATGCCTCACGTCGTAACTGAAACACGGAAGTGGATGTCAATATTTCGGTGCACAAAAGTTGTTTAGTTAATTACTGACGAATCATTATGTTTGGGACACCGTACGTGCAACTATTCGACACTAAAGGCTAGCATTTTTTTTGTTTTGAAATTAAATACTTAGGTCTATCTGAGATAGGCAGGTATAAATACATAATACATACAATAATTATTATGCTAACATTCTGTTCACCCTCTGGCGTTTCCCGGGGATAATTATAGGACGTTTCACCACTAGTATTCATGTAAATTCTAAGTGGTTTACTGCAGGTGGCCAAGTGTCATTGTCGATTTTGGGAAGGTACGTGATTAGTAAATTATGTAGACAATGTATAGATAAACTTTCAAAAGCGGGTAAGAGGATGTCGCTCTGCTGTTGTACATTAGGTGTCTAGAAAGTCGTTGTAATGGATGGTATTAAATTTGAATTCAGTGATATGATATCATTGTAGACGAGTTACTAATCTGTGCGGAGACGGTATGTCAGTCTGGGACATTTTATACTGTTATGACTCATTAATAATATGGTAGCCAGCAAGTTTAATTAATATAATTCAAAATCTTATTCTTAAATTATCAGTGATGCTGGAAAAATATTAAATGTATTTATGTGAAATTTTGCTGTTTTGAAACCGAATTACTACAAAATAACAGAAGTCGATATTCTTTGTCTTAATAGGTCATTTTGCATATTAAAATTTAATTTTTTTAGAATGATTTCTGAACGATAACTCCTATTATAAACTATTAAATTGAAAGAAGAAAATATTTTGAATAAAATAAATATTAATAGTACATAAGTATTTAAATAACAATTTAAATAACAATTGAAAACCATAGAAACTATACAAATCATAAGAATTTCTGACAATGTATTTGACGCCCAATCAAAGACAGTTACAACAAAATCATCACATTTCTAAAACTTATTAATATGTTCATGTAAAAGAAGTCGTATTTATTTTGTTGTGAGCTAATAACTTAGTAGTTGACAATGCACCAAGAATGACGAAAAAATAATAGAAACAATTAAAAGCAAATAATATGTATAAAAAAATTTTTTTACAACCCTAACTTAGTTCTTAAAAACAGTTATGTCATTATATGTTTATCGTATTGCATAATCTATTTTTCAAATCGTATAACTTGTAAGCTATGTAATCCACGATGTCTATTCTCCGCAGGCGTGTTTTTGATTTTAAAATTGAGGGTATAACGTCCATTCATCAGTGTTACGACTATAAATTCTTTTCAAATTTTAATTTGATATTCTAATATTGATAAATAATAGTATTTTATCCGTAAGTACTTTAAGTTTAAGTAGAATGGGGCACCACCGAGTTTTATGGTCCTCAATAATCCGCCATTATCTTTGCCCAAGATATACGAAGATTTATAACACTAAACACAGTGCATTATGTCTTATGCATAACAACTTAATGCTTTGGAATTTAAATATATTACGTATTCCGTGAATTATTATTATTGTTCTCGGAGATGTGCAGTAAAATAGGACGTGTGGAAACAAATCAGAGCATTCCTTTTTGAAATTGAATATTTTATAAACGTGTTACAACAGGATATCATATTGAGCAACGGACGAGAGGGCTGTTACTGCATATATCGTGTTTAATATATTAACATTATAATAATAATATTATAACCGTACAATGTTTTACGATCTTGGACGTATACTATTACGGATAACGAGTTAGGGACGTGGACTTATGGAATGAGATTAAGCTTAAAACGCTGTGTAGAAATAGGTGGGAAAACGTATTGTTAATTTGTTTTTGTTTAAGTCTTGGTTCCCACAAAGCTCGCCTATAAAATACGTAAAAAAAAGCACATAGAAAACTACTCTATTCTATATTGTGTCTTTAATTCTTGCTTATGTATTATATTATAATATCACTGCAATAACGTCATTCTAATTAAATATATATTTTTTAAACTTTCACAACCAATGTTTTTAAAAACAAATGTCAATGCATTTGCATTGCTTATTTTTGTAATAATATAACTGATGATCTCGGTGTAGAAAGGATTTTTCATTTTTTATAATGTAGTGGAATTAGTTTATTAGTTTTTCTTCGATTAGAAAGAAATTGTTGAAATCAAATCTCGTATTAACATACATCTCGCGTACATTTGTATTGTTTAGATTTCAGTGACAATATGTATTATATGTATTTATTTGTATTTATTTATTCGACGGTAAACCATTTTCATTATTACCGCACGTATAACCATCGGGTGTCCTATTGTTATCACGCAATCGGAGAGTTGAATTCCGTCCGTATAATCGACGAGAACCGATTTCCACAACAAAGTGGTGAAGATTTCTCAGTGAGCAGATAATATATTGTGCACTATAGTGGGAAACAATAACAATAATAATAATAATAATAATACTATTTTTAATTGCAAAACGAAACGCTAGAATATATTGTTGTTCACGCTGAAAACGAGCAATGCGATTCGTATGATATTATTATAAATGTCTTAAGGATGCGTTTTATTGTTTTTTTATTTTTTACGACACTGATTTGTGTAGTTTATTTTGTTCATTTTGTGACGCTAATTTCATATTTCTCCCCGCTGACCGTGGACAAATCCCGATCACGGGTATGTCTGGTCAATAGATCCGACGGTGACCTTATACGGTTAGGTTAGGTTAGGTATGTATGCATAAAATACATATAAATCGGTTCGTTCGGTATACGTTTCGTTCCTTAAATATTATAATATGTAAAATGCGCACTCATGTGTCGTACATACAAATAAATATATGTATTATATGTATAATATATTAAACGTTGTGTTCTGGAGCATTTACTGTACAAAATATTATAACGCGTTTCGTATTGTTCGGCTTCCGGTCCGACCAAAGACGGGGCCAAAGGGTTGCGTACGCGACGTGCTTAGAAGCAGGACACTATTTTTATTATTATTTCGTTACCCCTCCTCTATTCCGACCTTAAACCAGCACAGTAAGCGAACGACCCTCGGTAACTGGCCATACGCATAATATGTTATATACCACGTGGTATAATACTACTGCAGCCGCTGAACAGCACTATTGCCACGACCACTGCGATCGCTTCATTTACAAATACTTACTTATACCGTTTCTGGTGCTGTATACGCAAAAGGCATACACCGCGTGTCATTAATACGTCGACATTATAAATCGGCCTCGGATATCGTTTATAGTGCACACATATTATTATCGCCGTTTATTATGTACAACAATATAATTCCGTTTCCGGTTTGCAAATTTCCGACAACTGCGGCGCCGTGACGTGCGGTTCCGGCCGGCAGAAACGACGTTTGTAATACTATTGCACTGCAGACCAAACGGCGGTCGCGTGCTGGTACCAACTCGTGTGAACGAGTCAACTAAAAATCCTACCCAGATGATCGTTCATTATTATTTTTTATCTAGGAATGATCGAAATGATTTGAGGATTATGAAGTTCTACTAGTAAGTTCTAGTCCATACGACGTCTCGTTAGGTGGGTGGAATCATTTTATTGCACTGGTGTCTATATAGTAACAACAATAATTAGCAATGGCATCAAATATGCAATTATACAATATTGCAACGTTTTGAGTTTGAAATTTTTAGACAGACCGTTTTCAAAGGACAGCAATGAGTGACATGATATTTTTAAGTCAACCATCATCGTTTTCGAAAACTGTAAACGAAAATATGGTTCGTGCATTGAATATGAGGCTAAGACGAATTGCAATTTGAAATCGGTTAGCGAAATTGAAATATGGTGTCGAATGACCACATATGACCATCATTATAATTTTATTGTTGTTATTATTCTTATTTTGTCTGAACTAGAGTGATGATCATAAATAAAACAAAATAACAATATGTTGCACACACTTCACTCCAACATTTCACCTACCTATATAATAGTATACACACAATTTGGTGTGAAGTGTTATAATAATATGATGATAATACCTATGTTATTTTATTTATGTTATGATATTATACTAGTTCGAGGCTCTTACTTATTCCAGATACCCGGACATATTTTAGCATACCAACGGAACGACAAAAAACACATATATTTACCGTCTCGACTCACTAAGTTGACAAGCCGACCGCTGCAGCTGCGATATGAAGACAGGACGCAGACGACAGTTCGCGCATTCGGCCAAATAAACAACGTCGTTGGCTATTATACAATAAACACACACACACACACACACACACACACACACACACACACACACAAGAAGACAGAAAAAAATATTTTTATACTTTCAAAAGAAAACGAATGTTTTTTGTCAAACGAGTGCGCCATGTCATAAAAAGTTCGGAACAGGCAAGCAATAAATTTGGCAACTAAACGGTCAGTTTGAAGATGTCCACTGCCGTTAAAAAGGAAACCACACAGTACAAAAAAAAAAAAAACCAAGAACCAAAAACTCTCGTAGTGTACTCGACTGAATTTACAAAGCTGAAACTTTTATTATGTGTACACAGTGTTTATGTGTGTAAAGCAAACATATGTATTATATTATATAATATACATAATAATGTATATTGTCCACGGAGATCGGAACTCGGTCAAAGATTCTATTTTATTGCGAGTTGGATAAAAAAAAACCGTGTGATTCCGAGAATGAACTCGCGTTTAAGGACATCCTGGTACGCAGGACGAATACTAATATTTTAGTAGCATACGACTATAGATATTATGTAGGTATATACGTATATAATAAAAACCAAAGTTATTACCATTTTTTTGTTTTTGCTAACATTATAAATAATACATTTATTTTACGTTCTATATTATAGGGGTGATGTTTTCTTGTTATAGTTGTAATCACCCAGTTTAGAATATTTAAATCCTATCATGTTTCTATTCTCTTAATAATGGAAATAATCATTGGACGCGGTTATGTAAAAAAAAAACATATTCGATTGAAATACAATAATAATGAATAGCGTAGAATAAATTAGAATTATAACGATGATGATTATTCTGTCAAAAGTATAAAAAAATATTTATGTAACCACTCTTTTTTTAAAATAAATGTGATCTTACCATTTTAAATTCAATTCGATAGTCTATGTTCTCAGAAAAATTAATCCAGGTAATAAATTAGTTTGCATTTTAAAATATAACTACCTATTTGACTGTTTTAAATACACAGGTAAGTGAATATTGTTCTTTAACCAATCCGATAGAATGTCAGAGTAGATCAATAAATCGGCCCTCAAACATAACTAATTTAAATTGTCATTTAAAATTTGATTAAACCAAGCGACAGTATCAGTAAAAGCATTGTACTTGTGTGCTAATTAATTGTAATGCTGCCACGCATATATGTCGTCGACAAATTAATATTATTAAATGTCTAATAAACACATCGATCGGTTAATGGAATCGGTGTTGCCAATATAATAATTATTATGGTTTATTTACCTGTATATCGGATTGGTCTCTCCTTGTTTGAACCAGATGACCAACGTTACGCGATCACTCGGAGTCGGTGGAGTCATGTTACACGGTAAGTATGCCACCATTCCGGCCACAGCTTCCACGTTAGTGGTTACCACTAAAAAAAATTAAAAAGACATATTATTATCACTGCTATTATTATTTTATTCTTTTCAGCACACTGCACAAAAGAGTCTAGAATCAGTTCAATCGTTATAATATTTTTTTACAAAAAACCATGTAAACAATTCGATTTATATCCTATTATACAATGAAAACGTTTTGATAAGTATGACGTACACTTAGGTTTGCAATTTCTTCTTCTAAAATGTATTGTTAAATCTAAACTAGTTATGTGCCATGCTGTACTACAGAGAAATATTTTTATAACAATAAAAAGTTTGAATTACTCATTCAAAGCTGTAAAAGTTGTTTTAAAGGTAGATTCGTTGTGATAATCAGTGATACTGATTTTTTAATGGAGATATCATTATAATATATGAATACAATATATAAACGAAAACTAAAATAAATAAATAGTACTTAAGATTACTACTCTTTTTAAGAGTAATATTAAATTTGTTTTTTTTTTTAAATTATATGTGACATTAATAAATATACATATTTACAGTTATGTACGGAAATATTGAAATTTAAAAACATTGTAGTATCGTACGTATAATAGTGTATACATACACTTTTTTTCTGTTTCAAATTTGCGAAATAAAACTCGTACTATTGCGTAGCCTTAAATTTAATATTATATGGTCCATTAGTCGTTACATTCGTTGTTCGAGGTCACGAACACTGTATAACGAAAACGAAATACCACAACACACGATTTCTGTGGTTAACTTCCACACTAAACGCATTTCTGTTTTGACAAAAACAATGCACAGGCGCGTAGTTGTACCAACATATTGTTACTATTATTATAAAAATCATCACCTGCGAATAGGTGCATTGTCTGCATCTCACCCCGAGTCAGCGTTTTTTGGCTGACGGTGATATTACAATCATAATAATATGTACCATACCTGGAGTGTAATGTCTCTTAGATCAGATAACTAGTAATATCTTTTTATAAGATTACGACTCCTACAGCGGTAAATGGTCTGCACGACCAGTGGAGAAGTTGATACTCGTGAGCATATAAAATACGTATAATCCACAGTGTGATTGATACTTAGTATGAAGTAGTTTTTTAAGAAGTTTTTAGTTATATTTTAATAATTCACTGGCTGGAAAATGTGCAGAGACGACTCTATGACGTAACAAAACGTGGTCTTATGAATGAGTAAATAAAGCATTGCTATTTTTCTATTTCAGTTCCATAATATGTGAAAGACTCAACTTCAGGATGCTTGAGAAAGTAATCAAATGTTTTATGGGAAACCCGAAAAAAAGATTTATTTGACCCAGACCGAATTACATCCGAACATTTACTATACTCTCTTTGCAGTATACGGCGACTATAATTGCCGTGATAGTCGAAAAATGTGCCAATTAATGTAACTCCCTTCAGGCGTCATACTGCTTATTATTATCAACCATTTTTGGCCAGTCGGTTCGGTTTAAGAGGAGTATGAAGAATAATAAGAAGGAAAAACGAAAAAAAATTTATACAAAAACAAATCGTTTTAATAAACAAAAACGGTATGTAATTTTTTTCCTCGTCCTTTTTATCGCGATCTCTTGCAAACAACGCAGTCTAAATAGCTGGTGCCGCAAGGGATGCAACGGCCGAGAAGGGTGGGCGATCACTCAACGTTTTGACGGGCAAACGTTTTTCTTTTACGCCCCAAAGTGCCGACATCAGCTCCAGGACGCTGGTGGTAGTGCACACACACCCGGTCTTCGTCTTGGTAGTCGTCGTCTTCGTTTGATTAATAGACCGACTTTTCCAATTGAGCCCATCCACCGTGGTCGACCGGAAAAGTTACACTCATTGGAGTATTTCGCCCTGTTTCCTTTTCGTTCTATTTTTTCCCCTTCTTTATTCGGATCTACGCTTAACCTCGAAGTTTAGAGCAGAGTATTCTCGCGTGCGACGACATAAATTTTATTTTTATATCATGTCATAGATCAGGCATGGGTTTTTTTTTAAATAATTCAAGTACATTGTTATCATTTTCTTTCCAATGGGCACCATTGATTTTTCGAAAAACTGGTGGCCATACGTGACAACGAATGGGGTGTGGTATGAAAGTGTTACTAGATTAGAAATACAATTTGCATGATAAACTGTAGGCTTTACGGTAACGTGGGTATTTCAATTAAACTGAATGTTTTGGGGAAACTCTTGAAAATAACAAACTATGGTTTTATTATGTCCTAACGCCCTATAGTAAATTCTATTAATGTATATTAAAACTTATACAACATAATCGTCTGCTCATATACGTATATTTTTCTATTACATGGTACTTGATAGGTATTAATTTCTTATAGTTGTACACATGGACAAAATGGACGAGGAAAAGCAACAAAAGATATCAATGACGTAAAAAAATGTACTTCCAACCAACAATAAATTATATATTTTAGATTTAACTAAAATGTTTCATTATAGTAGGTTGCTGATATTACACCATCATGCATTATTAAATAAGTAGGTATAATAAATAATTGATTATGATAAAACAATGGAAATTGTGTAAAACTGTCGTCTGTGGACATTGAAGTGTATACAGAGCAGTGCATAAATTGACAACATTTTAATAATATTATTATTAAAATATAAAATTGTGATAGAAAATAATATAAGAAGAAGTAAAAAATGAACTCGACTCGGGTGTATCTAAATTGCCTATTCAGTACGCCGTGTTACATTTGTTTTTACTTATTGAAATAAAAATATTATTACATTAAACGTAAAAAATAAAAACCATATTTCAAGCTATGATTATAGAAAGATCGCCTCCAAATAGTTAGAACGAAAATGAACCCAATGTTGATTAGGTTAATATTTTATTCTCAACGGAATAGTAGGTACTATGGAAAAACTATGGGTATGCGTGACATAACTATTAATTAGGTAATAATAAAAGATCTTTGTTTTTTAACTAAACACAACTATATTATCAAAAGGTCCATATAGTACTATACTATAAATATTTATAACGTTGGAAATGACTTCTGTGTTACCAGGAACGAAAGAGCCTATTACAATAATAGATCGCAGGAAGACTTTTTGGAAAATTTGCAATTTATTTTTTTGTCAGAGAAACTATTAAGCCTTTGTGACTGAGAAGATGGTTTTGAACTATTTGTGGTTCCATCACACGTCCACACGGTAGGCTGATTTACAGGCATTTTTCATGTAGCTATAAAAGCGACGTATACGTGAAAGATGACGACCTGTATGTGTCGTGCGCATTTTGCATAAACTAGTTCGGTCACAGTCACACGACGTTAGAGCACGGTGAATTGTGAGGGAAAAAAGAACGTGAAAAAAATAATAATAATCGTAAACTGTCAATTCACCGCGTCCAAATCTGATGCACGATAGATAACGCGTTTTACTGTCGATATCGTCGTTTTATTGCCGAACGTTTGGATTGAATAAACCGTTTTTGACCTTGTATCGGCATTTTTTTTCTCGTATTTTTCGATGTCTCGGAAACAATAATAATATAATTCAAACTATTTTCCCGGCGGCGCCCATTTAACTTTCACCCGAGGCGGACTTTTCCGATATTATCAATCTATAAAATAATGAAAATAAAATATATACCGGTGTGAGAATTACGCGCTCGCTTTAATGACGGAAAACACGATGAGTGTCTATAACATCAGTACATCACAATCACGTTCGTTTACCAGCGAACGTGTTATTATACCGGAAGTGAGCATTTTCCATATGAACTTGTTAATAATATATTACCAGCAAATACACCGGAAAGCATCGACTTTCTAATCGATTTTAAATCCAATTTATAAAAGGGCATTGATTTCTAATCGATAAATTGAAATGTAATTATCATTTCACAGTGATTGTAAATTATAACGAAACAACGGAAACAGGTACACAAATATTTCTCAACAAAGTGCAATCGACTAATTTATAACCATACATAACTATTATAGTAGATACTAACAAGGATTATAATATTACTATGTTGTTACTTACCAAGATAATGTGATTTTATTATTTAGGGAGTGTGTGTCAGACGACATGGCTTGGAGTGAATACATTTTTGAATTTTCAACCTTTGAGTTTGGTCTGTGACACATACTTAATAACATGATCTAGTTGGTATATTTTAAGGAGGTAAAAATAAAACTGAAGATATTCTATTTTAAACACGTCCAAAGAGGAAAATCTTCAGTTGTAGTTTTTAAATAATTTGGGAAAACTGACGAAAAACCGTAGCAAAACGGAGATATATTTTATGCTATATGAGCTTTAGACATAATCAGCCTATGACAGCGGACAGTGCTGTCGTCCTTTTGCGACGTGCGCCCCAAAAAATAATATGTCCTAATACTGCACGGGATCGCGAAATCGGCCGTTCGAGTGTGAAAATTGATTTGCCGTAAAACAACTACAGCCCGTTTGAGCTTGACCCTTTTTGTTTCCACCAAAGCCTCCGGCTGAGTGGGTATAGATCATAGCTAGTATTATAATATTATATAAATGGCTGACAAAAAAGTTTCACGTGGTGCAATATTGTTCGGGCCGTATAGTTCGGGTGAGTGCTTTTGAAATTGGAATTATTATAATAATATCGGCAATAATAATATAATATTGTATTTACGTTTCGGTCATAGGTATACCTCACTCACATAAAATAATAATATATTGTAGTCATGTTGGACTTTGTACGTATTTCCATCATTATTGTATTGTTCCAATAGTCCATTCTGGAAGTTCAAAAGCCAGTAAAGGATAATAATATAGTAAAGGATAATATACTACGTCATATTTTAATAACTGTCCATATCGCGCCAGTATTCAGTTGCAAGTTCGGTTACATTATTATCGTGCCACCAATAAAATAATATAAATTGGCATAAGTCTCGTGTTTATGAAACGATAGTACCATGATCCGCGAGGAACAAAAAAATGTAACCCTTGTCGCGGGAGACTTAGCGATTCGTGTGAATAAAAAACTAGTTTATATATATAT